TCCTCATCATCTTCCTCCTCCTCCTCCTCTTCATCCACCTCCAGCCCCGAGGAGCTCTGCGGCCTAGCAAGGGAGAGAGCCACACTCAGCCCCAGAAGAAGCCTGGCATCCCCCACTCCCCCGCCATGGCTCTGCCCACCCTACTCACTGACTGCCGGACACATTGGATCCTTTTGCCTCTCGGGCCTCTAATGATGGGCTCTGCAGACCCACCTGGAAGTCCTGGCAAGGAGACAGGGAGATGTGGGAAGTGGGAGAGTAGAGGACATTGGGCCTCTGCCCATCATTCCTTCAATGAACATTCTCTGAGGGCCTACTCCCTCTGCTCTAGGTGCCAGGCTCCCGGCAAGAATGCTCCCACCTCCTCGTCCCTCCCTCATCCCAGGACTCCACAAACCGATGCCTTTGTGAAACGTAACTCAGGCAGTCTCCAGGGACACAGGTTGTGATGGTGAGGCACACCGCCCCCGTGCTTCAGGAGCTGGCAGTGTATGTTCACGTCTTGTCTGCCCAAGTTACTTACTCGTCTGTAAGCTCCCTGAGGGCAGGACTCATAGTTTAGATGCAACATCAGTGTATTAGAGCTGGGAAGAACCTCAGAGATCCCTTACTCGGTGGATCCCAGTCCCCCGGCACCCACTCCTGGGATACTGAGTCTACATCTGAGAAGTATGAAAAAGTTCCCCAAGTGATTTTGATAAGCATCTGGGCAAATACCCTTGATCGGGGCTAACTCTCTTGCAGCACTCACCAGGTGGTTAAGTGGCAGGGTCCAACCACATCCAACAGGCTGGCCTAGGAGCTGGGGCGCAAGCCCATGTCTCCAAACACGTTTCACCCTCCCTGCCTTTGCTTTTGGATGCCCCTAGGGCAGAGGCTGTGCTGGGCCCAGGGGGCCCGGGGTCGGGCCACATACCTGGGTAGAATGTTGCAGGATAGCCAGCAGCCTCTCCTGGATCCTCCGGAGCAGCTCCATGCCCGTGCTGAGGCAGTCTGCCCGCAGGAGGCGCAGGGACGAGGCCAGGTCTCTGCACCGCAGCAGCGTCTCCTCTGCAGAGAGGGCAGGGCACAGGAGCTCCCTCCCTTCTTCCATTCCTTCCTTCAACAAACACCTACTGAACATCTACCAAGTTCTATCAACACCTACCAGGCATAGCCCTAGATACCTATCCTGGGGGCGGGGGCGGGGGGG